TCACTGAAGAAGACGGCCGTCAGTTGTTGGCAGCTATGGCGAAATTCGAGAATGCGTCTCAGGGTGAATATCCGGTCTGCGCATCCACGTCCAGCACGAAATCTGGCTTGGTTGGGCCTCGTCCTTGAGTCACGCACAGTCTGGAATCGCCTGAGTAGGACAATAGCGAAGATCGTCGCAGCAACGTCGGTGCCACGGTAGTTCTCGCATCTCGTCTTATCTCCCATCTTGAGGATAGGTACAAGCATGCCTAAGCCCCAGTCATCAGGAACAACCTCGTCTCTCCACGCTTGTTCAATCCCCTCATGAAGCCAGGGCGCCAGAGTGTCGACACAAGACTTGAAGACTTCAGCGGGTATACCGTCCTCTCCGGGTGCCTTGTTGTTGCGTATCTGTCGCATGGCATCGGCGACTTCTCCTTTGGAAGATGGGCCGCATGGCACTGCATAGGTGGGAGAGGAAAGAAACTCCGCTGAATAGGAGAACAAGGGCGAGGTAGGTTGGGCATCAAAGTTGAGATGGTGCTCCAAGGTTTAGCAAAACACTAACAGTACTTGAGTGGTCGAAGTGAGAACCATAAAAGCTTTCCTAAATCAGCAATTGCAGGGCACTGTGAGTGGGGAAAAGCTTGCTATTCAGACTGATCGATCATCCAAATCGAATTTTCTGCAAATTGCCCAGACCGACGGATTATTTTGAGATGGCAAGCTGGAAGGCTAGGAGGAAAACAAAGGCGTGGTGGGTTGAGTATCGAAGCTGAGATGGTGCTCGAAGTGCTCACGCCAGCGTTCGATTTTGGCTGATTTGTCAGCAATAAAGCCGGCATTCACGTCGCGAACAGAGTCACTCAGCGTATAGGGCTTACCGCTAACTTGGCGGATAAGTCGGTCGAGTTTTCAAGTGTAACCAACGTTCGAGGCCCGTTCCATGGAGGTCGCTATTTCAGCCCAATATTGCTTTCGGCCATCGCTGACCGATTTTTCTGTCATCTTTCGAAGTTGGCGGAAGCAGTCATCGTACGGGACCTAGCTCGAGCCGTCTGAGCAGACAACTGCATGGTTATTCCGCTGATCCAGTCACTGCGGCGTCGCTGGGTGTATCCAAGAATTTTTTTAGCTGCCCAATTGACTGACGCCTTCAGTGACGACCACTGGTCACTACCTCCTAGTCGGTTCGGGTCGTATAACAGGACCTAATTTCTCTGCTCAGGGCCTCTGCAGTGCTCATTAGCCGGATTTTTGCGGCATCGAGGCGTCTAAGAAGAAGCAGGTGAGAGGTGAACTTTCAAGGGTGTACGAACGAGGACATGGTCCGACCCATGGGCGTTACCAGTTTCGGCACCACGCATCGATCTGATATCGTGAATCCAGCTGCGAAACCTTGAACTGACTAGTATGTAGTCAATCAGACTGGCCGTACGACCATCGTCTGAATACCAGGTCAGTAGATGTTTCTTGAAATGCTGGAAACACGTGTTGGTGACAAGCAGTCGGTTCTAAACAGCGAAGTTCAGCAATCTCTCGCCACTTTCACGCCGGGAACCAAACCCACAAGGCAAAGAAGATGGTTTTTATGGAGTCGCCAGGTCCAGTCCGACCATTCCAATCCCCGACGACAATCAGCATATCGCGGCGAGGGAGTCGTTCAACCAACGCCCACAACTGCGAGTAAAACGCCTCCTTATCGTGCTGTTCGACAGCCGAAGTTATTGCGCACATAGAAACGAAAGAGATATTCGTGGAGTGACCCTTCAGTCGCACGTAGGCCATCCGGTCACTGACTGGTTCCGAAACAAGTAACGTGAGGTCTCCTTGTTGCGAGAGGGCGATAGCCACACCAGAAGAGTCGCGCGAGCCGCTGTGGTACAGGGTGAAGTGTGATTAGACCCCAGGGACCCTCGAGAGCCTGAGTGAGGAAGTCGAACTTCGGATAGGCAACAGACATCCGTGTTGTACTGATTAAGGCTGCGCGCGGTCAGAATTTGGGTATCAGGGTCCAGGAACATTCGCACATTCCAGCATGCAGTACCAAGAGTTCGTCCCCGTTTGAGTAGTCCAGCTCGCATATTATTCGCCAGTACCACTGGACCAGGGTTGCGGAGCGCGTCGGTTCCCGCGAACGCCGTAGCATGGGTCGTAATACTATAGTCGGACATATTTCATGAGGTTTCTTGGGAATTTGGAATACAGGCGGGTCCCCAACAGCCTCTTGGATTGTTTGTTCGAGGTTGTCTCCTCTAGCGCTTTTGGCTTAAAAGCCTAACCACAGGGCAGCAGTGGCAAACAAACATATTTATTGGCAGTTTATGGTCGCCATTTCACAATGACTTCGTTGGATTTTGCGGCTTTCTTATAAGGCTTTCAGTGTGCCAGACCTCAGCCCTCCGCACCCTGGTAGCAATGTCGCTGCTGGTCCGCGACTGCTTATTCGTCAGACCTGGTTCTGCTTATTTCGCAGCTAACCTTCACTGGAGGCCGTTCCGTTATCCGCCACCTGTGGACACGCCAAGTAGCCAGTAGGAAAGGCGGATGGGGTGGTTTGGGCATGTTCTTAGTCGTCCACATCAGGCGTTCAGTGTTACTGCCCTCGATCAGACTCCGTTACCCTATTGGAGGCGTCGATGAGGGGGTTAACTCAAAACTTGGCTCGACACACTTCACCAAGACATGTAGGTGGTTCCTGGACCTTCGGTAGTCGGTCTTCGTCGTTGGCCAGGAGAATAGGTTAAATCGTCAAGATCTGCTGCCGCGGATTGTCACGCGTGGAGTGATACGGTTTGGGACACCATCAAAGCCGACTAAATCAGGCATGATCGCAGTCGTACCGAGTACAAGTATTAATGGCACTTCGACTTCCAGAGAATACGCTCGCACCGAGGATCGTAGACTTCAATTGGCAGGTTAGTTATGAAGAAAAGTATTTTTCTATAAGCCGTGCTAGGTCAAATTAGCTGAAAGTGACGCGTACGACTCTCGGCAACCCGTCTTCCCGGACAACCCGTCACTAGGCGGGGCTGGGCGGTCGTGGATGGGGCAATGGCCCATCTCGTGTGCTCTGACCACCTGCTGACCAGGACGGGGATGGGTTCCGTGTAGCACAGAGCACTTGCAGGCGCCATAATCGATACGGTTATTTGTGAGAGGCAATTGTTTTCCAGGGACGAGGCTGGAAGCCCTCGATCCGGCACCGTTGCCCCCATTGGAGGCATCAAGGAGGGGGTCAGTTCAAAATCTGGCTCAACACGGTTCGTCAAGACATGGACGTGGATCTTGAACCTTCGGTATTCGGCCTCCGTCTTTGGCGAGGGGAATGGGTTGAACTGTCCAGATCTGCTTCCGCGGATCGTCAGGCGTGGAGAGGTAAAGTTTGTGACACCATCGAGGCAGGCTAGATCAGGCACGATCGCAGTCGTATCAAGTACAAATACAAGTACGAGGCTGGAAGGGGTTGGCGTGTTGAAGGCCCTGTCCAGCGCCGCCCAACTCCGACATGTCAGACCATATGTACCAGACTGAGATTTGCCGACCGACGTTGCAGACAGGTTAAGAAGGGCACGCTCTATGCTCGTCAGTGCTGACCTTACTTGTATTCAGTAGTCAGTCGAGCTCAAATCTTCATCTCGCCCTTGTGCTTGAACACAGGAACGTAAGTTCCAAATGGATTCTCCCCTCAATGGAAATTCTCGGCAGACGACTCTCTGTCTCACCAGAATCAGACTTCGGTTCATTTTCTTGAGGATGGAAACCGTCTGGTGACCAGATGCAGTCCTCATTTGCAGGCTAAGGCCTGATTTGGGGATGTTGCTTTGTTAGAGGCCGGAAAACCCCATTTCTGTTTGGTCTCGAAGCCCAGGTGCGAACGATATGTGATTGGGGATGGACACAACAGCCATGAACCTTATGAATATCGTTGTGGATAACGGCTTGATTGACGTTAAAAGTCTGCATACGGCTGCGTCAGAAGCATCTGCTTTGCACGCCCTCAACTCACGAGATTATGCCCAGAAGAGATTATTGAGGGAGCCCTATAGTTGACCCGTAGTCCCATGTGATTTAAATCTGCCGAAAATTTGCACACATCGTTTGATTCCAAATAAGTCTTCTGAGAAATCGCGTATAAACCAACTGATATTGGGGATCCAGGATACATGCTCTTATCGCGTCGGGGTCACCAGCACGCATCACCTTATGCCAGCATCCCTGGTTTGTACCTCTGTCCGTATTTTTTGAATTTACTGAAAACCAAGGGATAGGGTGGGAAAAACTGACGCAGTATCCCGTTATTGATTACCAGACGGGAGCCTCCCTGTGTTCTGCCGTAAAACTGTGTTCTCCCTGAATTTTATGTCATAAAACAACGGCTATATCGAAAAAGAGCTTCGGAAGAATAAAAGTAGAAATAGAATTCCAACAGGTTCACGTCAGACATACTAGACAAGGAGAACTTCCAAGCATAACTAAATCACTTTTTTAACATTAGTTTTGGGGGGACTTTTGATTCACATGCCCTTTGATATGAAATATGCTGATTTTCCCGTTCATGGAATCATCCTGTTGCACTGAGTGATGTATTTTGAAGACACTTTCACGAAAGGCTTTTATGAAGACGAAAATTAGAATCACTTCCAATCGGAGTGTCCGCTTAAGAAGTCAACCCTAAAAGCCTGTATATGCACGTGCACGATTCAAGCATTATAAAGTGGAAACTGTACAGGTAGGAGGAATTCCCATCTGTTTGAAAAGAGCAATCGAAAACCTCCTTTGGAAGCGTATGACGACGTGAATCACGCCATTAACTCCCCTGTGGAGGTTGCCGGGGCAAATCCCGTTCTTTTCGAAAATGAGAGACTGAGACGGGTTAACGGTGGCCCACTCTCCAAGTAAACATCCCCACCGGACAGGAAGGGATTCTGGTTTTAAAAACTGCTGGTAGGTACTGCCTATTTAACTTGGCTCTACTGCCCACGAATATGACCAATAAGCATTCATTATTTGCTCTGCATGGGCACTGTACCTCAGCATATGTCTTCGCAGCAATTCGCATAATGACGCATTTATAAGGCGATAGAGTTCAGCTCATTTGGCCGTTGGGGGGATCATTGAGAACTGCATCCAACAAGTGCCAAGGTGACGTGTGATCTGCATCTGAGACGTTAATTGCAGCACAGAGGGAGACTAGGTGTATTGAACATTCAGATATCAGATTAGTATTATCGAGCGTGCTATTCCCAGGTGGCGGATGGTAACACCGATATCGACGACCTTGTCCAAAATTTCAACAGTGCGCACCCCTCACCAAAGTTCACTGCAGAGTCTGAGGCAGATCAAGAAATTGCGTTTCTCGATGCCCTCCTGCACAGGCAGGAGAATGGGTCTATCCAGCGCAGGGTGTTCCGAAAGAAAACCTGGACGGGACAATACATTAATATAGGCCGAATGGTATTACCGAAAAAGACTAGGGAGACTGGAATTGCCATTTCTGGCTTATTAGCCGTCGTCAGTCAGCCGTACCCAAGCCCGAAGTGTGGAACACCCAAGCCTCGAACTCGCGACCTGTTGGTTTAGAAGTCCACGCCTCTACCCACCGGGCCACGAGCCCGTGTCCCTGTCGGTTTTCGATCGGGAATATACAATGGTAAGGGGCGCTCACCGATCGTTCATACGGAACTCACTCGTTCCGTTGTGCCTTATGGACTCTCTCTCGAGCCCAACCAGCAGCCGCACAGCGGCGCATGATATATAGACAGAAGTGTATTACCGACAAAGACAAGGGAGACTTGAATGGCCAGAGTGAGTTCCGTATGAACGATCGATCAGCGCCCCCTACCACAATACATTAATTTCCACAGTTTTGTTCCCATCAACAGCAAACGAAATCTAGTCCAGAGATGGGCAGCTGGAGTGAGGCGCATCTGCTCACCAGAATCTATTGAAGCAGAGCTCCAACATCTGCGGAACACACTTCGCGATAACGGATACCCAGATAGATTTATCATCCGAAATATTGGAAAACGCATGGCAAAGCCCACTGTTGCGACAGTAAAAAAGAAAGATGTATTCATTAGACTGCCTTTTGCAGAGGACACATCGAGCGAACTAGTCACACGGCGCCTAACTACAGCTATCACGAGAGCATTCCCCGCGACGAATTTACGCCTATGTTTTACAAACCCTCCCCTCCTACGTTTGGCGACATCAATGTGTATTATGACGCACTTTGATGCATAACCCACCAAGGCCGCCGGCATGGCTGCATCCGACCCGCATTTCACCGTGACTTCTGTCTTTCCCGCCCTCGTTGACCGCGGAGATAACTGGCGGCCCCGATTTTTCTGCACCGTGACTGTCTCCTGTACAGAAGGCCCGTAAAACCAGATAGGGGGGAGGGGCAAATTAGCGTGGGGTTGACAAAAACAGTCAGTGGACGTCCAGGCTTCATTAACTTGCCTTGATGTATGATCATCACCCCGTCCCACAATCTTAACGGCGTCAAAATTCAAGATGTGTCCCATTTGCTCGGCATGGCTCGACTTTGGGTCCGACATTCGCACGGCAAACTGATGCTCGTGTATTCACGTTTGCAGCTGTTGCCCGGTTTCCCTTCGTAGTTGCACATCCCACGGCACCACTAAAGTCGGTGTACAGCGGCCGGCATTTCCTGTTTAGAGAAAGGGTTTTTGGCCGCATCACTTGCCGCTGACTATTGAGTCAGGCTTGTGGACAACTTCTGTTCCGAATTGCACGAAGTATTTAGCCACGACTTCGGAGACTTCCTACAGATACGAAGTGCTCTGCTACGATTTTGGTTGACTATACCCTTAATTTCGATTCCCTTGTTTTAATCGGCCCCGTTCAAGGAATTCTCGCGGATAGCCGTTGGCTCTGAGAAGTTTTTGAAACACTACGTAGGCTGGTAGGGAGCGTTCACTGATCGTTCTTACGGAACTCACTCGTTCCGTTGTGTCTTACGGGCTCTCTCTCGAGCCCGGGTGTTCCATACTTCGGGATTGAGTATGACTAGCTGACGACGGATAATAAGGCAGAAATGGCCAGTCCAGCCTCGGTTGTCATTGTCGGTAATAACATATTACCTATATTATGCGCCGCTGTGGGCTGCTGGTTGGGCTCGAGATAGAGAGCCCGTAGGGCACAATGGAACGAGTGAGTTCCGTAAGAACGATCAGTGAGCCCCCTATACCGTTGTATATTCCCGATTGAAACCGACAGGGCAACGGGCTCGTGGCCAAGTGGTTAGAGGCGTGGACATCTAACAAACAGACCGCGAGTTCGAGCCTCGGGTGTTGCACACTTCGGGGTTGGGTATGACTGGCCGACGACGGTTAATAGGCCAGAAATGGCTATTTAAGTCTCCCTTGTCTTTGTTGGTAACAACAGACTGAATACGTAGTCTGCCTGCAGTATGTAAGGTCTCTGAATCCCGCTTTCCCCTGGGAGTTCGCTTTACCTCCATTAGGTGTAATAACAACGCAATGGTCACAATTGATTATGTCCACCATATGGCTTACTGGGAGGTGGGTGCAGGGATAGTGAGTTATGCGCGATTGTAGACTTTCGCAACCCCCAGAGTCGACCTCACACTCGCCTCCCTCTGTCGTACATCGGTAGATTGTCCCGTCCGGTCAGCAATATGATGCGGGGACTGAGTGAAAATGGCTGGCATGGCATGAGACTGCGCCTGGGCGTGCCACAACAATCGCCCCCATGTGGGACGCTTTTTTGGGTGCTCATCTCAATCGCTGGTCTGGTCCCCGCGTTAGTCGAGCGCAGCTCCCTCGTGGTCCGTTGCAGGGCACATTATGAGTCAAAGGTAACACGTTTTAGCAGTATCTGCGGTTTTATTCTGCCTACTTAGGAAAGTTTTCAACTGATTACGATTTACAGTAGGTGGGCTAACTCATGAAATGTCAGCGAGAATTTCGAAATGCATTCTCGTTTCGAAAATATTAATTAAGTAGGGTTGTAAAACAAATCATTATGCAGAATAATTCTATAATAATCTAGTTATCTCATGATCCAAGCATATACACTTGTTTTGATATTACTTGGTCCAATCAGTACCGTAGTGGTAATTATACAATTTTGACATAGGAGGCATTTAGAGACAAATGTATACCAGTGACCAACGCTTGTTCTATGTAATTACTTACCTAATTTTCATGACACTTGTCTTACACATTTTTTATGACGTTATTGTAACCAAAAGGGAGTTCAAAGGCGCTCGCCTACCTTTCCCTTGATAAATCTGATCTGATCTGATCTCAGGATGTCGGTTTTAGAATGAACTTCTTTTCGACTGTATGTAAGAACTATATCCTGCAAAAAATGACTGCTTAAGTAGCATGAATTTCTCATATTGATTACCAATGTCCTTTAACGTTCACATACATTTCATGAAAACATGCATAAAAATATTCATTCTTTTACTCATTCGGTAGAAAATCACGACGTTTATCAATTTTATACTCAAAGGAATGGTATAATTTGGTTTGTGAAAACATTTCCAATTCCCAAATAATTTTGAACCCGACCTGCTGTTATACTTGCATTCAGGGTTTCTAAACTACAAGCCGTACATTTTCTGCGTACGGGAAACCATACATTTCTCTACGGTACTAAGAGGATACTAAATAGGGTTCATAAAATTTAACAGTGGATTCGAGTCATATTGTTAACTTTGCAAGCCATACTGGGAAATGCGGAGAGATGGCGTTTTATGAACGGTCATTTCATGGTATTAAAAAAACTCACAATTAGAAACCTTTGTGAAACCGGGTTATACCCCTTCTTCGAGTATAAAGTCAGAAAAAGACATACATAATTTTCTACCGAATAAGTAAAATAATGAATATTTTTATTCATGTTCTACATGAAATATAATTAAATGTTTAAGGGCATAGAAAATCAATGGGAAAATTGCATGCTACTTAGATAGTCATTTTTTGCAGAGTATAGTTCATGCATCCAGCCGGAAGTAAGTTTATTCGAAAGCTGGCACGCTGAGGTAACTGGGCTATTATAGAATTATGCTGCATAATTATTAGTTTTGCGACCATATTGAATTTATCTTTTCGAAACGAGAAGGAATTTCGAAATTTTGACTGACATTACATGAGTAAACCCACCTACTGCACTTAAAGATATTATCAATGCACATTAGTTGTGCTAACTCATGAAATGTTGGCCGAAATTCTGAAATGAATTTCCGACTCGGAAAGAATACTTATATGAGGTTCTAATATTAATTATCGTGCATATAATCTCAAGATATTTCAGCTCCTACGGGATGCCGGTTTTTTTAACAAACTTCTTTCCAGTCACTTACAAAACTGTACTCTGTATATAATGACGTCTTGATTGGTATGAATTTTTCTCATTGATTTTCGATGTCCTTATAAATTCAAATATATTTCGTGGGTGGCATAAACAAAAGCATTCTTTTACTCATTTGGCAGAAAATTACGTCTTGTTCAAATTTTATGCTTGAAGGAAGAGTATAGTTCGGTTTTAAAAAAGTTTATCTGAGATTCCCGTTCATAAAACATCGTGTCTCTGCATTTGCTAGAGGTGATCAAATCCACTGCAAAACTTTACGAATCCCATACGGTTTCCTTTTAATATCGTATAGGAATGTTTGGTTTTCCTTGTAAGCAAAGCATGCAGATTGCTATTTGAAACCCTGAATGCATCGAATTGAATGATCGGATTGTGACTTTCATTTTAACCATATGGCGCTTGGTATGCGAGCGCTAGCTCGGCACACCCGCGTGACGCTGTTAGACTTGACTCGCATGCCTCGAACACCACACTGGTAGTCATGCTGGCGACTCGTCCAGATGTCCACGTACGTTCATATAATCTACTCTCCACTTTTCCTCCGTTTGGCCTATATATTTTTAGGAGCAGTCAGAACACGCAATGGGGGCAGATGATACTCGACGTCCCTCCTTAGCTGGTTACTGGTACATATTATTTAGTTGCGTTGTGACATGTAGATGTTTCGATCACGATCGATACGTTCTGTATCTGTTCAGGGGTCCTGTTTCGTTACTATCGATCCTCTTGTTGCTTTCGGATGGCCCACGCAACTGGAGACGAAATCAGCGGGTAGCCATTTCTTCCGAATTGAACAGCAGAGGCGAGGCACGATCTTAGCGCATAGCCCATGGCCCATTACAAAAACTCCCACATCGTGCGAAAATGATTAACCAGCTACGAACAGCTGTACACAATGGTACACAACTGGCCAAGGCCAAAAACTATATTCAGCTGACCAAACGGACAAGTCCTCACTTTCTATAAGTTTTCGTTGAAACCAAGGCGGCCGTCTCGCTGATAAGTGTTCATTTCGCAGTAAGCAGGTGTCGTTCGTCTTAACGGCTTAGAATAACAAGACCAGATCAAACGGAAAAGGGTTTCAGTCACCATGGGCTTACTTGTTGAACTTTGAATTCAAACGACATGTCGTTAGATGATGCCGAGGAGCGACTGCCAGTTAATATACTTGTTCCAGTAACAGCCTCTTCATCCTCTGATTACTGAAAAAGTTCGTTACCAAAAGGTTAAATTTGAGTACATTAGCCGTCTTTAAGGATGATCTACTAATAAGTGCGAAAATGGCCTTTAACCCACTGATGTGGCCCATAACGCTAGGAGGGGATGCGGTGAGCAGTTCTGAATAATTTACCGTCATAGATCAACCAAAATCGGACCCCAAAATAGGCTCTTACGTAATTGAGGTCTTATTTCATCATACTAATTTTCGATTAGAAGACGAGGTGGCGAGCATATGTAGTTTCCGATAAATTCTCCTCGGGCCAGTACAATTAAATGGGAACGGGGTAGAAGCAAAAAACTTGTCAGTGATAAGAGAAATCCATAAAAGGTCGTCTTAAAACACAGATGGGGTACGGAAATGTGGGGGAAAGGATGGGGTTAGGGGAGGGGAGGGGTAATAGCAGTCAGTGTCAGGGGCGGGGTGAGAGCGGAGGGGCGCGGAGAGGTGGATGTAGCTAGTTGACCTTTGACCACGGTAGCCATGCCGGGAGGCTGAGTAAAGACGAAACTAGGAGCATAAGCAGCGCCATTCTCGCGCATGTTGTAGATTCTGGACATCGTGTGGACCCCAGCGAAGCTTTTCGTACGATTTGTAAGGTTCCATCGAGCTACCCTTAGCTATTGGCCCAGCGCCTGCTAGCAACAGCAAAAGCGGCCGCCATCAGGTTACAAAGACCAGCCTTATGTGCACAGAAGAAGCACGTTCAGGCTCTGCACCTACAGTGGTCGAAGGTCGAATAACGCTGCAACTCTATCCGCGCCCTTCGCTCTTGTAACGCCCCTTGATCTGAACAGGGCTGTTTGAGTGGTGTGACACTTTTCGGCGCGCGGACCTAGGGTGGAGATGGCGTAACCGCGTGCTGGTGAAGATGACCGGTGACCCTTCCTCTCACTTCCGCCGACCCTTTCCCCGCATCGTTAGGTGACTTTCGTGTCGTTCTCCTCCGCTCTACGTCAGCACCTCCCTCGGCCCTCCCCTGCAGTTGCCCACAGCGCTGCACTCCCCTCCGGTTACTTAGCTGGCATGTCGGTATCGCCTCTTCATCCAGACAAGTTAATCTACAGCTGTAACTCATCCTTCCCGTACTATTAACAATTATTACACGCATTTCCCGTGCTCGTCTCGTTATATTACACTATATCCCATACCCGACGTGTCTTCCTCTCCTGTCTATGGATGCGTATCAAGAGGTGCTAACGGTTCTGTTCAGATCTATCTCCGTCAGGATCTACTCTCAGCGTTCTCTTACTTTGGTGTGTGCCACCCTTGACGTCCTCGGCCGATACACTCTCATCCCACCCCTGTCACTAGCGCTACCTCCCTTACATTCCTACACCCCGCCTGTGTTTTAAAACGAACTTTGATCGATTCCTCTTATCATTGACACTTTTTTGCTTCTATCCCGTGCCCATATAATTGTACTGGCCCGATCAGAATTTATCGAAAGCTACGTATGCTCGCCACCTCGTCTTCTGTTTACTGCCATAGGAATTTTCGCAGCTCTAAAACTTTCGATTAGTCGCTATTGGTGTAAATGCCTCCACTTTTATACTGCTGATAGTCTTTTGATCTATAGTTTGGTGCGCCCATGGCACCAGAAATGCTGCCGAATTTAAATCTACTCCCATGCACGTTAAGTATTTCTGACGTATGTACGAATGTCTTTTAGAACTTTTGAACAAGTTTTTCGGGAACAGAACTTGTTACGATTTGCGAACAAAACTAATTTCTCCCTTTGCTTCGCTTTAAGGTCGCACTCAAACGGAAAGGGCTTACTATGAGGAGATGCGAACCCAGTGCACAAGAGCCATAGAAATGTCCGCAAACTACCTGGAGGGCGTATCAAAGCATCGAGTTTTCCCGCGGATTGAACCGGGCTACCTGCGTCCTCTCCTGCCGCAAGATGCTCCCAGTGAACCGGAACCCTGGGATCGGATATTCAGCGATGTCGATAAACTTTTGATGCCTGGGGTGCGTTTTTTGTCAAGCGCTCATTTGTTGTTGCCTAGTTCGTTCAGTTGTAAAATCTGCTTGTTTATAACACATAAAATATCAGTGAAGAAAGAAGAGGGGGAGAGTACCGGAACATTTTGTTTATTATCCTGAGTTTTCGAACTCGTGCAGGAGTCTATCGTAAGAGATAGTAACAGCAACAGAACAAGCAACAGCTATACAGCGTGTTAGACAATCATCGACCGACGGCACAAGACTGGCTGTGACTGCGCAGAACAATGTATGCCGGCGACAGATCGAGAAATCGACTGACCGAGTTCCCATCCGAGGCCCAGGCTTCAATCAATCGTCGGCCTGTTATGTTTCTGGCGTGGACGACATAAGGTATCGCCTAATTAATCCCAGTTCCCGCGATGCATCTTTCTGTGAAGGCTTTCGGTAGGCATTTGGGTTGGATACCAGTGTCGCAACACTCCGTTACTGATGCTAGTATTATTGCAGTTAGTTACCCATACTGTAAGAGTTGGTAGAGTAGCATTGGCAGCCGTGGTGGCGGTGGTAGTAGTACTAATGGTAGGATTATTAGTAGTATTCGCTGTATCAGTGGTGGTAGACGGGGGAAAAAGTTTTCTTCAGTGTTGCGACACTGTATTCCCGCCAGTGGTAGTAGTATTAGTAGTAACAGCGGTAGTAGTGGTAGTAGTAGCAGTAGTAGTTGTGGTGGTAGTAGTAGTATTAGTGGTAGTAGTAGTAGTAGTAGTAGTAGAAGTAGTAGTAGTCCGCCCGTGAGACAGGCTGGTGGGGGAATAGACAATTCTAAGTGTTGCGACACTGTATTCCCGCCGGCATTTGAAGTACAAGCATCTACAGTAGGTAGCAACAAGGGAGAAGTGACTTTAGCTTCCGAAATTGCATTCGTTATCATGCTCTCTCTTTCTTTACTTTAGGTCGCCCACTGGCATCATCCACATTTTCACGCCTACCTCGTCACCGCTAATTCCTATCCGGCTATGTGTGCCGACATCCTTTCTGCGGCAATCGGTGGAATAGGATTTACATGGGTATGTCACACCTATCAATAGTCATTTCTGATAAGACTGCAAGACGCCTAACCGCGTTCCTACACGGTTATTATTGTCTAGTGTATGTAAATATACTTAGAAAGAGATCTAATCCTTTGGGAGCCTAATAAGCCCCCTCCCCCCATTGCGAAGTTTTGGAGACTGGTTCCCCAACCCGTCGTCAGGCTTTTGGGTCATGTATAGGCGCATTAAACTATTTTACCGCGTCTAACAAATGATTTTGCTATTGGCCGAAGCCTGCGCCTGTGTGCGTCAGTTGTATTTTGTCATCCCGGCGGCATTAGCTGTGCTTTTTTTCCTTTGTCCTTGAGAAATTTGTACGTGGCATGTAAATCGATGCGCTGATTGATGCCTGCCTCATGTGAGTGCAGCAAACTACAAGATTTATAAGTGGATATATTTCAGCACTTGCATTAAGATTCAAACGAGTCCCCGGACGAATTAAAAGAAGTGAAAGTTGCAATCGAGGAGATAAGGGTTTCATTCGATGCAATCTTGCTCTCCGCTAGATGCAACCAGACGCTGCCCCGAAGAACTCCATGAGGCCTACACCAGTGATGTGCCAGCAGACACCTTGCTCCACCTACTAGTTATCTGTCTAGCAACCGAGTTCTTCTTCGTCAAACAGTGCTGTAGGCAACCGAGGGGCGCTCCTATGGGTTCGTCTGTATCTGGCCTTCTGGCAGAAGCCAAGATGCAGCTTTTTCTACAGTTTAATCGAAACTGTGACTGCGCAATTTAGATGACACATCCCGTGAGCATTGGTCGCATTCCTGTTCGTTTTCCCCTAAGAAATTTTTACGTTACATCCAAATCAATAAACTTACTGATGCATGCCGCATCTGAGTGCATTGCCTACAGGAGTTCACAACCTTTCCTTATCGGGCAGACGCCAACAATACGAATGTTTTCCCACGCAAATTTGTGCCCATTGTCCAGTGTGCGTATGGTAACCTGAGGTAGATGACCATGCCTCATTATCTCTAACCACTGTTCATAAATATGAATTGAGATAGGGTCCTCGTTCCGAACACAGTAGACGACATCACAAGTGGAGCATGAGATTCTGTAGACAAGGCCTTTCCTATCGAGGTAATCAACCCTGTCCTAAGTGTGTGCAAGATGTTTGCGTAAGGTAATAGCCGGTTGGTGTTTCAATTTTTTTATGATGTTTTTTCGGTTGTCTTTCGGTAAGTTCAGATGCTAGGTTACTGTTCCTGGTGCGCCTATGACCTTGGATTTCGAAATACTTGTTCTCTTAAAATGTTTGGTGCTTCATGCACCGACGCACAAAACCGACCAAGTATCTGTTGTGGGAAAATAGTTTAAAAGGACATTTAATCTCTGCCTGACAGTTTCATCGGAGAAGCGCGATTTAGCTCGAATAAGCGGACTGTAGACTGAACTGCCATTGTGAGAGGCGGGAAAGTTAATCCATCTGCAACAAATCTGGGAATGATGTGATCTATAATTTTATCGGTGCGCAAGGAGGATACGATTAAGACTTGAGATAGATGAAAACAATCTTTTTGAATTTATTCTGCACTCAGTCAGTCATAATCCTGACCGCCAGCCGGGACCAGGAACACAAACATACGCACACACAAAGAAGGCTTATGGACCGATATGGGTCCATTTGTGCGAGCATTGGGCGCTCCCTATCATAGTTTATATATCCGAGCACAACCGACAGGACAAAGACTCCATGTCTCGATATTTGGAGCCATGTACGAATAACCAAAAGAGTGCGGGTTCGAGCCCCCGGTGCCATCAAATGTAGAGTTTGGTAAGGATCGCTGGCGGCGGCTAATAAGTCCAAAACGGCCGTGCCAGCCCGCCCTGTCTTTGTTGGCAGTCTAATTTTGCATTTACACAGATATATGTATTGCTAATAGAAGCGAGATATATGCATATTCCCAAGTGAGTTTGGCATTGAAGGCCATGAACGTCTTTGCGATCCTTGGTATTTTACAAGCTGTCCATTTCTCTCTCTCTCTCTCACTGCTCCTTAGGCTTCATCTCCAGTGAGCACAGAACTTGAGGTGATAATGTTGGATTGGATGGCCAAGCTCCTTCACCTACCTGAATTCTTCCTCTCGCATACAGATGGAGGGGGTGTGATCCAGGTATGATTGTATTTCATTTCACGCTTTTTCGCTTGTTGGTCTTACTATCTTAGAAGTGTACGCAGCAGAAACATTCTGACAAAAGGATTCTATGATTGGTTAAAATCATCTTCTCGAGATTGAATGGGTCAGTTTGAATCTGTCCTTAACAATTTTGCATGCGGCACCTAGATCGATGTGCCGGTTGAGGCATGCTTCATCTGAGTACATTGCCTTCAGGAGTTCGCGGCCCTTCCTTATTGGGCAGGCGCCAACAATGCGAGTGTTTTCCCATGCAAATTAGTGCCCAGTGTCCAGTGTGTCCAGAGATGGCCGCGTCTCCTTGCCGCTAACTGATGTTCATGTAAAAAAGTACCAGATACACGTAGCACATCAGCCGGCAACTACCTCACGCGCACAACTTGTACACACTGAGGACAGGGTTGTAGACAGGTGTTGTCTACAAAATCTCATGCTCTAGTTGCGATGCCGCCTGTTGTGGCCTACCTGGGAAACCTGTCTCAACCCGTGTACATGAACATCAGATAGCGGTAAAGAGACGCGACCATCTATCCCAGGTGGCCATACACACACTGGACACTGGGCACTAATTTGCATAGGAAAACACTCGCATTGCTGGCGCCTGCCCAATAAGGAAGGGCCGCGAACTCCTGGAGGCAATGTACTCAGATGAGGCATGCATCAACCGGCATATCGATCTAGATGCCGCATGCAAAATCGTTAAGGACAGATTCAAACTGACTCAAACAAACCCGAGACGATGACTTTAACCAATCATAGAATCCTTTGTCGGACTCGGTCTAGAAGTTAATTGATTTTGCACGCCCGCTGTCTGAAGACGAGCTGGGGAAGCAGTCTCGAAAATTTACTGTTTCCCAAAGAATTCCATTTTCCTAATTATATCTATTGGGATGCCTGTTTTTCAATTTACGTATACGTATATTCGTTTATGTCTGTGAAAGTCATCAGCAAAACGACAAGTCGCTCTATCTGCACACATACCTTCTCCACAACATGCGTATGCAGGACACCACTGGCAACCCACTACGACTCACTGTTGTAGCATATGTGCTTTTCACTTTCCTAGGGGGTAGCATTGCTTGCGAAGCGTCGCATCTAAGGGAATGCGCATGCCGTATAAGTAGGAGTACGTTCCTTTGGTTAACCCTGGCTCACGAAGTAGAAACACGCGTAGACGAACCGTTCGGCCTTGTCGGCCACTGTGATGGGTAGACACAGACGGTCGGCTGAAGCATGAGAAAGGGACGACAGAGTGAGATCAACAGCATCGGCTTCGTCCTCGCGGCCGATTACCGCATTCCTCACAATAACAAATACGGCGCGTTTGAATCTATAATGACGTATTATCAGTTTTTCCTCGGAAGGCTTCAAACTGACGGGACAACCCGGTCTCCCTTAAGTTGGCACTCCCACTGACGTAAGATGCGAGCCGCAGAGCGGGTACCGGGTCGTGCGTATGGCACGCGTAGACGGACTGTTTGGGCTTGCCGGCCACTGCGTCCGAACCAGCCCTTATCCGTCTTGACGTTCTTTCGCTACCGGGGTGAGGGAGGACAGGATGTGGTAGATGCTGGGCAACGCTGTCTTTCCGTAAACGAATTCACAAACGGACCACAGCTGCTGGGCCCATCTTGGGAGGCTGGTGTAAATGTCGTCGACTGCCGCGATCGACCCGTCCTATATCCTCTGAACGGTAAACCAAGCAGAGCAAGATATTAGTGAAGACACTTTCTAGATTTTGTCATGCCCCCTATTTAAACGACTCGTTGCTTCTTCTCCTTTTTCAACAAATATGCACGTTTGTATAATTGCGGACGACTTACCATTCTTTCAGGGAACCGCAAGCGAGTCCACATTCATGACCTTACTGGCAGCTCGCAATGAAGCGATAAGGAAGTATCAGCAACTTCATCCGGACAGCACAAAGTACGAAATCATGGCTAAATTGGTCGGCTACCATTCACAGCAGGTATGATTTGCGCAGTCAACAAGCGCTTTTGGCATTCAGTTAGGCTTTTTAATTGTAAGTATCGAGCATTTAGTTCAGATACGGGCACAACAGGATTGGCCGCACAGGAGGTTAATCAAGAATGCCCGCGAGTTAAGGCAATGACGCTGATGACTTGTTGCTTTATGATTCGTTTTTCAGCATCTTTCGATAGGCGTCATAAATGAGTTTGCGTTCGCCCGTAAACGTTTAGCAGCAGGTACTGGGAGATAAAAACGAGAGTTCTTTCAGGGACCAGGAAAGGCTTGGAACCGCGGTACTGCCGGAAAATGCAGAAACCCAGGCGCCTCAAGTACGGGAGTCGTGGTAACAGGGGTTTTACGAGTAGGGCTGCGGGAAAACAGTGATGGATGTGCGAAAACGGAGGAAAGACACACGTGTCACTGGTAAATGTGCCAGTTTGTTTTAATGGGTGGTAAAATCCCAGCATAAACATCGCGCGATACAAACATTCGCTGCAGGCAATCATAGAAAACCAACTTCACCAGGAATATTGGTGATAGGCCCGTTAAGGTCCTGGGAACAGCCGCCCAAAAATATGACTAATCAGACCTAACCCGTGATGAAAGTTATATGAAGTGGATGCCAGTGGACCTAAACCCTAATCCTAACGTAATTGTGAATTATAGTCGCAGCAGTCCTCGAAGCGACTCAAATTGAAAGTGTCCGTGAGCAATACTACGCGTACTGAAATCAATAATAGTACGAAAAAAATAATTTGTTGACCAAGCAGGACCACGTTGTCAAGCCTCACTGGGATACTAATGTAAAAGTACTTTGCCAGATGTCTGCATTAAGATACCCGAAATAATTACACTTTGAACAGTCTCTTGATTACAACCTCACTCTTAAGCGTCTCCCAAAAACTGACCACAGGTTTCACTAAAGGGACCCATTGAAGTCAGGCTCTGAAATGAGATCATCGTCGATAAATCCGTAGTAAAAACCAAAAGACAGTTGATGGATTGCATTAGTTTTGTTTTGGCTTAGATCAGTGGCAATTTGCTACTTCACTCTTGGTGATTTTTATTGTTAAAGAAATGATCTAAGAAGATACATTAGCTGTTTTAGGGCATAGTAATTAATGTGATTGTTTAATTAAAGGCGCATGCGTCGGTGGAGCGGGCAGGGCTTCTCAGCCTCCTGGAACTTCGTTCGCTACCATGCAATGAAAAGTATGAATTGGAAGGGGAGACGCTACGAAGAGCTGTAGAAGAGGACGTCGCCAATGGTCGGATACCCTTCTATGTACGTGCTATTATCTGAGAGGCATGATGCCTTCGGCTGGAGCCTTTGATTATACCTCTGTCTGCCACTCAACACGAAGTAATGCTCGGATGTGGTAACGTAGTCCCACCTGAAGTAAAAAAACCCCTGCTAACTGTAATACGGAACCGATGCTAATAGGGGTTCTTACAGGTGGTGCCGGGGAACGCACAGGCGACGAGGTCAAGTAGTTGTATGTAAAATAAAAGTTATTGGGAATGCGCAGTTGTACTTTGAATGGTTAAAAAATAGTTGCCCTAATTCCAATCCCTAACCCCCAAACCTAACCCCTAACGCTAACCCCCAGCACTAACCCCTAACCCTAACACCTAACCCTGACCCATAACTCTAACCTCAAACCATAACCCCTAACCCTAACCCCAACAGTATTGTGTCCATCAGGTGGGGCTACATAATCGCATCTTACCGAATTAAAGATGTTACCTTGACAACTGCAATCGGCACATTAGGCATCCGGCGAAAGGAATATTCATCGATCTATCCCGCACTGTCATTGGTCGTCGAAGGGTGACATAGAGCTCTTTAAGAAAGATTTTTGTCGGGTGCCGATAGCTTACTTGACAGAGGGAATTATTCGTCGAAAATTAGCAGGCCACCATATTTATATCAAAAAGCCGAGTTGGCAAGCATACGTTTGCTTTCGATAAATTTTTTTAGACCTGTACACTTATATTGCTATTGAAATGGCAAATACGAAAATGCGGGAAAGTAAAATCCATTCCGTAGCTGAAGTCTAGGGAGAGGGGTGGGCGTCAGAGGGGAGGGGAATAAGGGGCATTGAGACGGGTAATTATATGCGGGTGGCTTTGGACCATGGTGTAACCTGTGTAGCCTGAATGCAGCCGCCTCTGCAGCTGCCAACAGACGCTGTCTAAGCAGTTTTTGATAGCTTGAAGGAACCTTTTAAATCCCTCGGAAGGCCTGTCCGGCATCTACACAGTGATCTGTGTCTGTCATGCGCGCGAGGACAGATCTGTTGACGTTCTTTTCTTGACCCTCCCCTAACCATGCTGGAAGGTGTTCTCTTCTTCTTCTGGACAAACGTCGACTCGTCCGACCAATATATTCTGTCCCACAGGAGCAGGCGAGGGAGTAAATACATACAGAATTGGCCTGGGCTGGCGATTTGTCCTTGCCCTCTCCGTATAGGATGGAGAGGAGTAGATGGGCGTCAGCTGCCGGAAAGTGGCTTGATACAGCTTCAGTTAGGCGCCTTCTTAGAAGTTCACTCGGCGCGTCTCCCTGAAACGGGACTCCGATGAAAATCTTTTTCTTTCCCGATGTCAGTGTCAGGGATTTGATGGTATTTTGGTCATGTACTTAGGAATGAATTGATTGAGGGTACCCGTTCTGGTGATAGATATTCTCGACAATCTTAAATTCTTCCTTGATGCTATCAGCCGAGCAGACCCGCCTTACTCTGAGTGTCAAACTGCGGACCAAAGCACGTTTCTTGTTTTACAGTACGTAACCCCCAAAATCGGCGTATTGTCTGGACCACGCCTTCTAAAGGTAAACATTATATCGAATACTTCCGTCAGATCTTCTACTCAAAGCACATCCGGAGAGGGGGCCATCCGGGTTGTTTTTCTTCCGGAGTAAATTTGATTGATTGATGCGTCTGATTTAGATCATCCAGTAAAACTGAAACGTCGTTTTGTTCAGGTATAGTCGCGATGTTTACATTACGTTAAACGGCGGCTTCGTGTTCATTTTTACTTCGACTCCACATTTTCTGGCATTCAGTTAATCTCCTACGTCACTGACTCTTCTCGGCGCTAAAACAAGCCTAAGCGATTCTGTCTTGATGGATTAAAAATTAAGACAAGTTATGTAAACCGGGAATGTCAGACGGGTCCTGTATGGTTGACGCCTGATGCGACTGCTCATCCAGTAATCCGCGCAACCGGTGTGAAATCACGGAAATTGTTTGTCAAAAGCTTAAGCCTTTTGGCTGTGCAGATGACGGTTGCTGAACTGTCTATTTTCGTTTGATTATTTGGAACGAAGTGCAAAAATTCCGCTCCAAAAGATCAGATTTACTCACAAAGACGGAAGAGGCTAATGTGGCGATAAAAAGCCTTTAGTGTGGTACTGGAAACAGTAGTGATAACAGTACTAGCAGTAACAGAACATCACAGTAGTATTTGTTGTTACCGTTGGGTCGCCAGTAATTGCTGTAGAAATATCAGTAATCTTACTAATAGAGGGAGTGTTGGTAGCAGAGGCCTACGCCAACGTGTGCCAGCTACAGTGACTAGACGGCTGTCGAATCCAGTGCGATGTTGTCAGAAGACGTTGACACAGGCGCTCTGTCCTCCGTGGCCAACACGGACCACAGATGATCACTGCACACCGTCCCAACCTCCTGATGGCAGTGACGTGTGTTCGACTAACCCGACTTGCAAACACCACTCACAGCCTACGTCACCCTTCCCTTCGCCTTTGCCCCAATAACCATAACACGCCGACCTCGTCATGCAGGTGGCATGGGAACGATGGGTGCTAGTAGCCCCTGGGGCGCTTATAAACCCTGTAAACTTCTCATATTTTCAATTAGTGTACAACTGTTTTGAGTAGATGATGAGCTACCGAAAACACGTTATTGCGAAACTGAATTTTTAATTGTAACTTGGGAATATTTGCGGAACTGAAACTGAAAAGGCGAGTCATTCCTCACTAACAAATGCACATACGTAACCCCCCAACTGTCTCGTACACAATGCGACAGATCTGGAAAATAGCCCGGAATCGTCTCGCCGGCAGGCAACGAGCTCATCAGTTTCGGAGCCAAATTTTCGCCTTCGATTGCAGTTCGATGCGAATTTCACAGAAAAGTTAAAAAGCCTTAACCATCGCCCGCTGTTCTTCGAAATATTTTAATTTTAAGAAGTAGTGCCGACGGAGACGTTGATGACCAGTTCTGGCTTATTAGCCGTTGTCAGTCTGCCAGGTTAGAATTCAAGCCCAGATGATCTAACGCTGGATTTGTGGCATGGATAGCTAATGACGGTCAATAAGACAGAAACAAGTGCTTCCGCCTCCCTTGTAATATCTGAATCCTTGTCGTTATGCGGCTGCCTGCGGTATTTCCGGATTGAGTTACGAGGCGCAACGGAACGAGCATTTTCCCCAACCTGATCAGTGAAAGACCCTACTGCAATAATTAATTTCATCTTCAAAATGTTTTCCTTTCATTGATTGGAGGTAATTAGGTCTTCCGCTGGACTCTCTTCGCGCTACACTACGCACCTCAGCCAACTTGCGTTTAGTTGGAGCATTGATCCTAATTTTCTATCAGCATCTACTTCCTCTGAGCGTCTTCAGACTTCCTGTCGACTGACAGCCGGTTCTTGCTTCGTCCATTTCCAGTGCGTCGCGACTTTGGGTACCACGGCGACTTGCAGCTATGACCGCTTGGCCGAACATGGTCCTGTATGCAGGGAGTACGACATGTGGCTGCACGTAGACGCCGCTTACGCAGGATCTGCGCTAATTTGTCCGGAATTTCGTCCATTGATGCCTGGTTTGGAGGTAAGTTGTTATCAAGCCAGTGACAGAGAGCTCAGTCAGCGGGCTGATCTGTGGGATCACGGCTGATCGGCCATACGCCGTCCAGCAGATCGCGCCCTCGGCAGACTAGAAATTTTATTTATATAAAATTTACAAGACCCCAGGTAGCCATAAAATGCGAGTCGAGGCCTGACTATCAAATCTACGCAGGTTTGGTTTACGATTGGTTTTAAGTAGGCCTTGAAATACTGGCTCGTACTTGCGCGGGAAATGCGTGTGCTGTGATTGGTTAGACAGGTTGGATGCGGACTCGAATTACCAGTAGCTTCGGGGCTCGCCTCTAGTCGACAATTTAGCCTTTTCGGTACTTATTTCATTGCGAAGTTTTGCATGAAATTTCAAGCGTAGAGTTAGGCAAAAAATTGTAGGGCATGGACGCTAATTTGACGAAATTGCACTTTTGTTTAATCTTGCGGAAAGAGAATACCAGATCTGTCTTTGGAACCCAGTAAGAGTGTTTCTAATTTCCGCAAAATGGCATAGAGATGCCCGATCGTTTTGTTTGTTTCGGCCCAAATGACCTTTTCCTTGTCAGTAAATCTCACATGCGTTTGAGCCTCATTCTACTTCCTAGTATTCTTCCTCGTTCTCCTTCAATCCGCACAAGTGGCTTCTCATGAATTTCGACCTTTCAGTTCTCTGGTGAGTTTAGATTTATAAGGTTTCCTTTGCTTAAAAACTAATTTTGAAAACTGCTTGATCAGGCACAGCAGTTTATCGAACAGTCCTCTACAAATGCACACTAGATGTATCGAAATGAAATGAAAATTCACCTACCGGATATCGAATGAACATTATAGTAGTAAGAGGCAATACCGAGTGTGGCATTCGGATGTTTGCAAATATGTGTGACGTTCGAATGATTGGAAAGTCGTGTTGCCCGATAAGTAACGGTGGTGTCCGTATTTGTTGGATCATGTCCAAAGAACCAGCAGAAATTGTTGCAAACTTTCATCGTAACTTGAATACCAATTCTCGGACAAAAAAGCCAACCACTTTTGCCTTCGGTCACTCAGCCAGAGTATGTGTGCTCATTGTCCCGAACGTTTCAAAGACAGCTGCCCATAACCTCGCGTTGAAAAAGTTTCGGTAGGATCGCAGTTGGCAGCCGTGTCCATCGGTACAACAATTGTACCTACTGGCTCGATTTTAGTAGTTGTGATCACGTCCTTATTATGCTTTTAATGCGCGCGCGCACTGTCCCTCCTGGACCAACATGCGGGAGAGGGATCAAAATAGCGACATATCCTCATCAGTCACTTTTCGCGCATCGGAATGCCCTGAGCAGCAAATGGACTGAATTCACTCGCTCCCTCGCAGACGAACGTTATTGGTAGTAACGTCTGACCGCCGCATACAACTCAGATGACCATTCAGGTGATACTAGAGAGGATAGTCTTTGGGACACCCCGGAATCATCCGACTAAACTTAGGAGAATCTCCGCGCGCGCTCGTTAATCTCTGTGCATAAGAGTAGGACCGCACGGCACACCGATTCTGGCGAGCGCCCTTTTAAATCGGGAGTGCCTCCGAAGTCGTCAGCCGCCCTCTCGCACAAATCGATGTGTCCGTCGCGCGTCATGTGGTGGGAACAAAAGACCCACTGCCACGGAAAGGAAGGCCAGCAGTTGTTTTCTGGACACTGGGCGGTCACGCAAAAACAGACGAACCGACGAGAGGATAAGTGCATTCGGATGCGGATGGACGAACATGCGTCGGCAGTGGGGTGGAGTTACGACAACCTCGAGTGATGGTTGGATCGAGAGGTCCAGGAAATATCTGTCTGTTTCAGAAGATTGTTTGGCGGACAAATGTTTGCCTCCACCAACTTCGAATCATGCTAGTACATTTATATGCTGACGGAGTAAACCAAAACACGTGGGTGATGAGAGGGATCGAGGAAAGTTAGTCTCTTCGCAGACATACGGGAGGATATTTAGGGACAGTCACTATCTATCCGGTCAGGAGTCAATGGTTAGTGCGGGTAAGCAAAAGGTCGCAAAGAACCGTGTCAAGTAAGAGAGTAGGGAAGCATAGAAAATTGCCGGTATTTAGTAGGTTGACGGGCGACTGGCCATGGGAGAAACAGGCCCGCACGAGGTCCTTCTATGTTCAAAACACTGGCTGTAATCGCTTCTGTCGTTGCTACTAGACGTTTTTCCGGTGGCTTAGGGTAGTTCGGTGTGACGCGGAAGGTTTAGTGGGGGGTCCATATGATGCTCGAGAATGGTGCTGCTAACGTTTTTGATAAGGTCTTTTCTTAGCGATGTCTGGAAATGTTCACTTATATCTGTAGACAGACGCAGACGCGTGTTATCAGTGCAACCAGCTCCACAGAAGCAAGTAGTGGTGTTTTGATCTGGCAACCTATCTTTACTTTCAAATTTGCCGAAGCAGAAATTGTCGTCAGAATTGCCATCTACACGGAGAGTACTTTATCTGAGTCATAGTTTTTCCGCTGGAAATCGATCACAAGACACGGATGCTTCTCGCAGCCTAGGCGTCGATTCAACTCTGTCTGTGCAGAAACATTATTCACGCCAGGGAGGGCGCGTGTAACCATTTCGTTCGCTGGAGGGTGCAGGTGAGTCAGGTGGCGGAAGTATCATCACGCCAAGTATGAAATCATCCAAGGCATCGCGGCAATTAGAGTCTGAGAGCTGATCGACCAGACAATTGTAGCACTAATTAAAAACACCCTTAATGAATGCTGGAGTCGTTGATTTTATAAAGCGCATGGCGACACGGCCACTGCGTCAAAAAAGGACTGCACCATCTGTGTCCCTGCCACGTCAATTCTGGCTGACCCCGAAAAGGGGTTTCGTTTTCAGTGCGGAACATCAAGTAAGTAAAATCCGTCTGGTATGCAAGACTCTACAGACCACCTCCCTTCTTTGTCCGTCCATCATGTTGAGATTTCCGACTGGGCGTTCGTTCAAAGGAATTACTAGGAGTCCCCAGCCTAACTCTCACTTTTCTCGTCGCCATAATTAGACATATTATTTTGGGATCAACGATGCGTCCCGACGTCAAATACTAGCACTTGCTTCTGTGAGGAGAGGTGGCGATATCATTCCTAGTGGTGGTACACCAGGGACAAATCAAATACATGCTCATTTGGCCCATTTTACAAAGGCAAGCGTTTTTTATTTTTACTCCACACCTTTGCAGTGAGGAGTAAAAGAAAAGACGCCACGATTTTCAGACGAGACAAGGCCTTGAAACATTTCCTAATAATATTAACTACCTAAAGGGAAGTAAACCGTCTTCATCACCGTGGATCTCTCTCTCCAGTTTCGAAATAATATCGGTTAGACCAGTCTGGTGTCCAAGACAATAGGTTTGAGAACCCATGATCTCAGTACAAGCTATGCCATTCGTCCTTCTCAGTGAAGTAGCCAAAACGAGGCGACATTTTCTTTTTTCAAACTGCTCATCCTCCAACTGTTTTGTAGGTTAAGAAATGTTCAGTCCTTGGTCAACGCCTTTACGGTCGATGCAGCATACCTCCAGCACGCTAAACTCGGAAAAATGCCTGATTTTAGGGTTTGCTTTCTTTATTTTTCTTACCCTCTAACTGGATTTTATTAGCATTGGCACGTTCCACTCGGGCGTCGGTTCAGATCCCTCAAAATATGGTTTGTCCTCAGAGCCTATGGCGTCAGTGGCCTTCAGAAGTACATACGAAATGTAAAAACCATTCAAGTTGCTTTGTTACATCAAATATATTTAGCACGTCACGATGGCACATTATTTGGAACGCCTGATCGTTGAGGGCGGCCGGTTCGAGATCGTGGGTGAAGTCACACTCGGGTTGGTCTGTTTTCGCATAAAGGTAACAACATTCTGTAAATAATACTTACCCAAATAAATCTAAGTAGCGTGGTTTTACGCATTAGTTTTTACAACTTTAGAACGACAATGCACGTACGCGGACGTTGTACGAAAGGATTGAAGCTGATGGTCGTCTGCATCTGGTGCCGTCATATATGCAGCATCCAGCCGAGCTGTTCTTCATCCGAGTTGCCATCTGTTATCAGTTTATGGATGAGGAATTGACTCGAACATCATTTAACGTCATCTCTCAACTGACTAAAGAAATTTTTCAAGTAAACGAGACGCCCCAGGGTCTGCATAGTTGATGCTAGACAGAAATATTTTGTAGGTTATGTGCATAACACTGAAATTATGACTGCATCACGTCGCTATCAGCACATGAATTTGCAATTGCCCGTCCCTCTGAAAATTATACAGAAATGTGAAGACTCCATTTTTGTGTATTGTTCCATCCATAGAGCTATTAAGTTCGCTGAGTAAGATTCGTCTATTTTAGTTTAAAGCCATGTCTTCATGCTTTCCAGGTACACGAAGAAGTCAGTTGGACCTTTGAAAGTTACGATATCCACGACGCGCGCGCCAGAGGTGGCACTTGCTCGTGGATTAGCTTGTAGTGTGGCTGGCCTTCGTAACGTTTGTGGGATTCTTTCTGACTTTGTCCACCTTAATTCGATGACGAAAAATGGTCAGGACGACTGGAGGTGGGCGCATTTGCAGGGTCCGCAAAGCTAAACGGCCCATCTACGCGTGCCATGCACGGCCTGGCTCCGGCCAAATGTACCAGGCTGCTGGAGGGGGAGTGGTTTGGGTCCCACGTGCGAGGGGACAACATAAAAGCCACGTTAGAAAGCAGTCATTGCAGACCGAATCTCGGTCCCGGGATGAAAGGGTTATACAAGTATATAAAATACCGTGAAATGGCTGTTCATAAATCGTCATATCTCTGCATTTACCAATATGACTTGCAAAGTTAACAATATGGATCAAATCCACTGCTTACTTTTATGAACTCCATATGGCCCGCCTTTATAACCGTAGAGAAATGTGTGGTTTTCCGTGCGCGGAATATTTACGGCTTGTGGTTTGGAAACTCCGAATCCAAATGTGACGGTAGAGCGGTTTCAAAATTATTCAGGAATTGGGAAAAATTTTGGAAACCTAATTATTTCCCTCTTTCGAGTATAAAATTAGAAGACGTAATTATCTACCGAATGAGCAAAAGAATGAATATTTGGCAAGATCGCAGTTCGTAGCCAGGCCCCGTATAACAGGTGGCTGGGGAGGTTTGTTTGCTGGGGCTATTTTGTGGGATTCCATAATCGCATCTGACCCATTTGGCTTCCGTTTTAAGTTTGAGGTTAGGATGAGGGTACCGGTTAATGGTTTCCGATTTTCAGATTAGGCCTATGCCTTTAGGCATAGGTTTTGGGGTCACGGTTAGGGTTTAAGCGTACGATTAAGTTTCATTATTATGGTTAGGTTTTTAAATTACGCCTATGTCTAAGGGCTACGGTTCCGACTAAGATTTCGGTTAGGGTTAGGATTGCCGTTAAGGTTAACGGTTAACGTTTAAGGTTGAAGTTGGGGTTAAAGTTATCACTAGGGCTAAGGTCGCCGTCCGCTTCCCAATTCCTGGCTAACAACTGCGATCTAGCCGAATATTTTTATGCGTGTTTTCCATGAAATATAATTGGACATTTAGGGCATCAAAAGTCAATGAGAAAAATTCATGCTACATAAGTAGCAATTTTTTGCAGAGCGTAATTTCTGCATGCAGCTAAATAGAAGTTCATTGGAAAGTCGCCATCCTGAGGTAACTGAATTATTGTGGAATTATGTTGTAGGCTGACTAATTTTACAATCCTACTTAATTAGTCTTTTCGAAACGAAAACGCATTTCGAAATTTCGGTTGAATTTTAATGAGTTAGCCCACCTACTGTATCAGTACTTATCTTCATATACATACAAGTGGCCGGTAAGACTCATCGAAAGCGAAACGTGTGGGTACGGTTTGGACAGACAGGACCGGACTGACTGACTTTGGTCGGGGATTTTGCTCGGCATAGCTAGCCGTGCTGCGATGGGTTGACAGACGTCTGAGAAGGTCTGCGTGTTCATAGTGGGAAAAAACTGATGTGAATTTCGAACCAGTGTGAATATCAGCGAGCTGAGAATAAAAAATTTGAAGCCTTTGCAAGAAATTTTAATTGGACATCAAAAGCCCTCATTTTTCGCGCAGTATTTCAATTAGAGAACTGGCTTCCCTGCCACTTCGAACCAGCATTCTTAATCTTCACATTTGTAAAAACAGCGGTCCTTATGTCAGGGGAAATAGCAATAAGAGTGTACTGGTAACAGCGCGCCAAAATGAACCATGCGATAGATGCGCTTCACCAACAGGGGAGCCACATTGGATTCTGGCATGTGCTGTCGGGATTTAGAAGACCAGTTGGCGAACATGCGTTTGCTTTCGATAAATTCTCGTCAGACCAGTACATTTATATAGGAACGGAGTAGAAGTAAAAAGCGTCACTGACTAGGGAAATCGATTAATGTTCGTCGCAAAACACAGGCGACGTGTGGGAACACGAAGGAAGGTTATAAAAGTCATTGTCAGGGCCGGGGTGAGTCGAAGTGCGCGGAGAGTAGCATGATTAGTTGACTTTTGGCAACCGTAGGTGCAGATCCTGCACGAGGTACTTCTACGGTCTCCAGATTGGCTTTCGTAAACTGATGGCGATCGCTTCTGCTGTTGGTAACAGGCGCTGGTCCAGTAGCGCAGGGTAACCTGATAGGACCTTATGAATCACGCGAAAAGTTTCGCTGGGGTCCACGCAATGTCCAGGATCAACAACATGCACGATAATAGCGCTGTTTATGCTCCTAGCTTCGGAATTTTCCAGCCGCGCTGGGAGGTGTTCCCGTATTCACTTGGATAGGCGCCGACTCGTGCGACTAATATAACCTGCTGCACAGGAGCAATCAAAGGAGTAGATGCACAGTGATTGTCAGGATGCGGTGGTAGGCCCATTCACCGGCTTACTTCAAGCCAAGTAGGATCGCTGTCGTCCCCCTCCACTGTTTTATTTGGTCTGAATCCTGGTCAAGTGTTTATTGTGGAGCAGAGTGGTATGCCTCGGTGCGCTGTGTCGCCGATTTTTCTTCTGTATGCGCATTCGATTGAAGAGGATAATGTGATATCATAATACCACCAACTCAGAGAGGTAACAAAGGAGTTCTCAGTGAATTTCGATCGAGGCTTCGGGTACTGATTCTCCTTTTACACAGGCAAGTATATTCCCAGATAAACAAGGAGGTTTAAACGTGACTGAAATTTGCGACGACATGGGAGACAGGATAAAACAGTGTCGAAATTACTGGTTTCTGGCGTTTCCGTTGTGGTCGATAAGGTAGTGCCCGACCACAGTAAACTGCGATTCGAATCTTGCGGAAATATGCGGACAGATGGGAGTAGCAAAACCGCTTTGTTGTGCACGATGCGAGTTGGTCTTACTGGCATTTTGCTGGATCCGACGGTTTTTAATAAGGTCATTCCATGCGCCGAATTTTAGCTGACAATCCGGACTTGGTGGTAGAGTTTGAGTTCTGGCAACGTTGGTCAGCGTCGTTGTATACTTGGGTGTAACTCATCTTGCCTTGGGTTTTCACGGAACAGAACTTGGAAATCAACAAAGACCAGATAGTAAAACGTCATTTTGCTCCCCCCCCCTTGATCAAGCCGATACGAATGACTGTACAGATACCCCGGTAGCCTGTGTGGGGGTTGTAAACAAATCTCGCATGAACTCGAAACTCACATTCATGTATGCTAACGCGCAAAGGGTACTTTCCATATCTGCGATCTCCACCCAGACTTTATTTCAATAGCAGAAGCATGGTTGTCCGAACAGCTTGATAATAAGCGGATTATGATTCCTAGATTTTAACTGTTCCTCAGGGACAGATAAAACAGAAGGGGTGTAGGCATAGCAACTGTTAAGGATGACTTGAAGGTTTCAGGAAAAAACTGCTAACCTGACTTGTAGCATAGAAACATTATGACTGACCATAAGGGCACCGGGCTCTCAAGGCCTCCATATCTTGATAGTATATCGTCCCGTGAGAAATGACCCTGACGGTAGTGCCCAACTGCTGGATTAGCAGAAATTATTTCCTACAATGCCGAATACTCTCATCGTTAGGGGCTTTAATGCACTTCAAATCGACTGGAGGTCGGTGTCCTCCGACCGCTCTGAAACAGCATTCGACCATCAGCTTCTGCGTACCAATAGCAATCTACTTCTCACCACAACGTAATGTTTCCGACGAGAATTGTGAGGGCCGGAAAATGAACTGCCTCGACCTGGTGTTAACTAAGTCACCCCATAACATCGACATTGTTAATTACCTTCCCTCATTGGATCAGAGTGACCGTGTAGTTCCCATGTGGGAATACACCTTATTCTCCCTGCCTGTGCAACCGCTCGATTTCCGACCCAATATTTGGCCCGGCGATTTCGAACAGATGATAAAGGCACCTAGACTGTGCTGCCATCCTGTTTGCCGACGGCATAAAATTGTGGAAAGTTATTCACAATGCGGCAGACGCAGACCACCTGCAAGCAAACTTGGACAGGCTAGAAGACCGGTCGAAGCGCTGACTTATGCCCTTCAGTGTGAGTAAGCGCGGCTTTCTTCATCTCGGCAACTGCAGAGCCTCCAGCCCCAGGACTTACCTTCTTCACGGCATACCACTGCAACAAGTTACAGTCAGAAGGAATTGAGTGTGTGGATAGTATTTTCACTCAAAACAACACTGAACTGCGCGAAGGCGGCCAAGCCGGCCATGGCAGCGTTACAACTCACTAGGCGAGCCTTTATGGGATTTGACCCTGACTGCTTTTCCGAACTATATGGCACCTTCGTGCGGCGTCACCTAGAATGCGACATACAGGCAAGGAGACCTTGGACTGCCAAGGACTATACCACATAGAGAAGGTCCAGAGACGGACGAACAAAATAACAAAAGGTCTGGGAACACTGCCCTATGAAACCAGACTGTCACCTCTCAACCTGTTTCCCCTTTCCTACAGGCAATTACGTGGTGACCTTATACTAACATTTCGAATTTCCAACGGTCAAGGCTGTTGGTTAGATTCCACTGATTACTTTGCTTCAGTTAACACGCCCACTTTGAGCTGTTATCCCCTTAATCTACGCTCAGGGAAGGCAAGAACCAATGGACAAATTTTCTTCGGTAACAGCGTGGTTGCAGCGTGGACTGCCCCGCCTGACGATGTTGTA